TATAGAAAAAATCATTTATTTTTATAATTATCATGACAGTACTTGTCAATTCATATATACGTTTATCTATAATATAATTTTATTCATGTCCGCCATAAAAGACATCGGTTAATAATTAAGTAATCGGTTATTTGAATAGATGTTCCATACATTTATTAATTGTACATATAATACATTAATACATTTATTAACATTGTATTAATAACGATGAAATAACATATGCAGATAATAAATTTACCGTCTATTTATAAAACTACTAGTTTAATTATTAATTTTATTTCTTATTAATGATTTCAATTAATTTTTATTTTTTAATATTTTAAAATATTTTAATTGCACGTTCCAAAATTTTTGAAAGTATTAAAAATTATTATAATGATTTTAAGTAAATATTCATATTTAAATTATATTCCAATAAAAAAATTCATATTCAATGCAAAAAGGCAAAAATTTGAATAACGTTCACATGATTAAAGATACGTACTTCAAATAATTTTGGAAATTCTAGATTATGGGAAAATATTGTAATCACATATAAATAACTTGATTCGACCTTTCATTTTTTAAAGATCTGAAACATTTTAATTTCAAAGTTGAAACAAAATAAATATACTTTTTGTAAATTCCATTGGAATTGCAGATCATCACATATAAAAGACCGATGTTTGTTCAATAATATCAAAATGAGAAATAATGTATCTTACTCAGCTATGTATTTATAATTTTGAAATTATAAAACGGTTTTACTTAATCAGCTAAGAATGGAATGGCTTTAATCAGTCAAATAATATTAGTTATAACAAATTATCTTGAAATAAATTTTCAAAAAATTTCATGATAAATTAATTATCGCTTAAATATCATTTATTATAATAATTGCACGAACAATAATTATTGTGTTAAAGAATTAGAATATTGTACTTTATTATTTTAAATGATTTTTAAATGATTATAAAAAATCACGTACATTTGTGTAAAATCTTTGCTTCGAATACTTTTTGTTTTAATCCTGTTTACGTATTTCAGATGTCTTTATTCTCTTTCTATTTCCCTCTTACACTCTTCCACTCGTTTATCGTATCCCTATTAAAAAATTCAATTTTTTAAAATATGAATCAACATTTATTTAATGCAGTTAACAGAACAGGAGATAACTAACGTATTTTTTATTTCATTATAAATTCGTAAGAAGAAATTAATAATATATTTTGATAAAATTTTTTCTAAGAAAAATGTAAACTAATTTAGCCTTGTAGATGATTAATTATATTCCCAGAAGTTTATCGAACATATTATATTTTTTTAACTACAATAAAAATAACTTTATTAGTAAATATAGAAGACTATTTAGTATTATCTGAATTATAAATAATATTATATTAATTTAATTATTTCCTATTATCTGATAATGTATTTGATTTGTTGCTAAAACATTTGCATGCAAAGTTTAAAGCATTATTAATTTATTACATACTAATTTATTACATATTAAACTAATGATGAATTAATTGATATACAGTTATGAAGTTTTTAACGATATTGTTAATTAGATATTAAATACATATATTATTGATTTTTTAAATATAATATATTAACGTAGTAACAATTTATATTATTGATAAATTATAACAATTATTTCAGTCATTAATTTTAAAGAGCATCTTTATGTTGAATAAAACAATACAAACGCATCAAATTTTTTATTGTGTTTAGATCTTTGTTTATAAAAAATATTCTTAAATATTTACAGACAATATCATGTACAAAAATTTAGGATTATTATTATTAAATAATGGTAACATAAATGTTTTATACATGATGTATATTAATGCCTAAATATTTCTATTATTTAAAAAAACTAATAATAATTAATTAATAATTACAATTATTATACAATGTCAATTTAAGTGTCACAATCGGAATGTCAATGAAAATCGACTCTACAACGACTTACTATCGATGTAAATGATGAAGGTTAAATATGAGATTACAACACAAAATAATTTTTTTTATATAAATCTTATTAGGGAATTTTTTTTCCTTTTTGTCAAACATAATTATTTTCAATTTACATATCGATAATTTAATATAAATTTGGAAAATATTCTCCCACATTTTTTATACAAATACTTAAATTAATTCTACAATCCTGATATAAATCGGGATAAAACTTCCTACAAATCAATATTCTATTACAAATCTCTTTTCTTAAAAAACTAATAATACGATTTCTATTCAATGTTTAGTTTTCTGTATAATTACTCGATTAATTATTTCTGTTGGATAGCAAGTAAGCATTGATATATAATAATTAATATATAATTCATATCTATCAAATATTGAATTTATTCGGTCTTGTTCATAATATGTTACTATTTAAACTCGTGTCAGGCACTGCATTCAATGATTTGTATTTTTTCTTTTCAATAATATATATTTCAACAATTTAAATCGATTGTTTTGAAATACTACAAAACGTCCTATACGATATCGTACATCCATGTATCTTTCGATGTTACTGACACAAAAGTATATAAAATGCTTTAAACTGACTAAATAGTGCAGTATACTATTTTCTAGACAGTTTATTGACACAATTTTACTGGATAGAATTTAATTAGTTCCAAAGCTATGTATTAAATCGTGCAATATTATAACTATGATTTTTGTAGCTGAATATGCAAGGTAATGAGAGATATCATGTACTATTATTGATAATGGATATTTTGACATATTCAAGTCATTGGCTAATTGAAGTTTTCATATACTTACAAATATTAATAAATAATAGCTTGAAAGTAATTACTATTTTAAAGAAATATCGTTAACTAAACTTCCTAAATTATATTTAAGATTATTTCAATAACGTATCATTTGCACAGACATAGATATAGACAATTTCCTTTTACTCTCTATACTATACATATTTCTGATGCGATGTTATCGATATCTTAAAATTATGGCTAAAATACTACATTAAAATATCACGTTCCATATTTAAAATTGTAGGAAAAGGCAGATAATGATTAGTATTCCAAGGCTTCGTCACATTGTCGCCGAATTACTTTTGGTTTCAAATAATAAAACTGAAAACTAAAAATTTTACCTTTCGCCTTAAAAATTTTGATATATATATAATAGAGAGTTTTATAATAATTGAAAAAAATTATCGAAATGTACGTGACATTTTTTAAAGCTATATTTGTTATATTATCTAAATGGTAAAAGAAGGAAACTAAACAAAGCGTGATAATTTCAAATTCAAACAAAATTTTATTTCATATTTACTTTACAACTGTCCCTTTCAAAAATATAAACACTATTATTGTAGGTGTTTCAGCTTGTCATAATAATAATAATATAATATCTTGATGATACTATATTTTCGATGTTTTATCTAGAAAGTCTTTCGTTTTATCTTATGCTGATCTTTTTTAAATTCTTCAAACAAAAATATAGATAAGTCATTTATGTCTTTATTTATGATTACAAAAAACTTAAAATAAGTAGAAATTCTTAGTATGTTAAAATAACAAATAATGAAAAGTGGATAAATATATGTAAGTCCTAAGTATGTATATATGGTCTAAGATGGACAATTCACCTTAGGCATTTTGAAACATCTTTCAAGCTCAAATATACCATTCTATGTATGATGTTCAAATGAAATATACTTCCATAAAATCAATAATTACAATTATATTTAATTATATTAGTATATAGTTTTATTTGAATACGATTTTAAATAGTTAATTTTAATATTTTAATTTCTTATTCAATATACAAATATTAATAGTAAGATTGTTAAAATTATTTTGCTTATTATTATAGCTCAAAATATGTTCTGTATGATAAATTATTAGAATAGAAATTATACTAATAGGATGCTTTAAACGAATACTTATTCAGAATAAGTAGAAAATTCTTTTCTCTTTTGTCTAACGGTATTATAATATGATTATTAGAAACTTTTTTCAGTAAAAAAAGTTTTGAAGTGAAAAAAAAATTATAAGCTGATAAAAATATTATAAACTGAAGTATAAATATTAATTGAAATTTTTGTATTTAAAACTTATCTTCAAATAAACTGTAACTACTTACGGTGTCGTATAATCATGTACTACATTATGTATTTTACTTAAAACAATCGATACTTACTTAAGTGATGCCCATGAACAACGCCTCTTTTTTATAAGCAGTAATTTGTATTTCGGTCAGTCGAATACATATCATAATGCTTTATAACATTGTCATATACAGCTTTTATCATTATATTCATTATATCAGAACACGATTCAGTTTGTATTCATTGCATGTAGGCAAAATTTCTATATTATATTGCGTAAAAAAATACTTAAAAATATTAAACTATTTTTTGTAAAGTATATATAATATTCTAAATATAATATATAATAATTTAATTTTTATTAGCTACCTATTTTCTATTTGTATGAGAATTTTTTATAATAATATAAATATATAAATAAATTAAAATTCAATTTTTTCTATGTTTACGAAGAAAATTAAATTTTATGAGTGATTTAAACTTTTCCAACATATAATTTCAGTACAATTTACTTGAATGAAATATATTATTTGTGATATATAATTAGTTGAATTACAGCAACAATCGTCGAAGTTATTATATACAAAAACATATGTTCTATTAAACTTACATACAAATTACCACTTACGAGGCACTGTAATATAAATGATACGTATTATATAAATAAATTACTTGACGTTAAAATACCAAACTTTTATGTATTTGTTTTGAAAGTTTTAATAATAAAAAAGCACTAAATTAATTTTGAATATAAAGTCTTGTTGAGGGAAAAATAGTCCTTTTTATGTATAAATATAAGAGAATAAAAATCTAGTTATACTGTTCATTTTGGATTTAGAATATATTGCATTAAATTAAATAATATCGGAATAGTTACACTCAAAAGATAGTTCACATTATTCCTTTTTATTTAAAATTATTGCTCTTAAATCAAATAAATATTTTTAAGTTTTTTATTTCAAGTTTGTTGATAAATTGACAATTTACATATTCCCTAATATAAATACTCATTCCATTCGATATGAAAAACTTCGTTGTGATTTTCACGATTTGTATTATTGGCACTAATTCGGTGAGCTTTAATAAAAAACAATTTGCTAATATGAATATATTATTATTAAATTACTATAGTTCCCATTTTAAAAATAATAGCATTTAATAAATTTAAAAATATTTATTGAATGTATTTAATTTTTTTATTCATTTTGTCGTTATAATTACAAGCTAAACTAATATGCATATTGTCCTCAAAATTAATTACATTGAAATTAAGTCTCATTTTATTTCCATTTAAAATTTTTTCAGAAATTTTTAAAAATAGTCATTGTCATTGGGTGAAAATAAAAAATTAATGTTTTTAGTGCTCTTATTTCTTAAAACGTTTTGATAACATTCTGAATTCTTCTCTACCTTTGAAACGTGAAATAGTCTAAGGGTCATATATAGATTTATTTATTACTCTTGATTTGGTAATAAATTACAATTATAATTCGATAATACGTTTTTAAGTATAATTAAAAAAAATGATATATAAAAAGAAGAAAATTTAGGATTTTGTAGAAAATTCTTACATTTATTAAATAGTAAATGATAAGTATTCAAATAATATTATTTTATTTATTAACGATTATTAATAAAGAAAGTTTTTAATAATTATTTAGTCTATAATTGAGTAATTATTTTTGTATTTAATTTAAACATAAAAATGCAAGCTTAAAATTATTTCAAATACTTGAAATAATAGATATATTATTTATGTAATAAATATATAAAAAGTTATATTGAAAAAAATATATATTATCTTACATGATGTCACTTAATACTTTTTAGGCCCGCATACAGAAAGTGGACGAAGATAAAATGTTAGAACGTTATGCTGATTGTGCCAAAGAAGCAAAAATTGATTTAGGTACAAAACATGAATTTTATTAAAATAATTTTATTAAAAAGATGTAAAAGTAGATAAATAAAGTAGTATATCAAGTATTATTAGCAGATAATTTATTATGAGTAATACGTTGAGCATTATTACATAATAAATAATATTATTTTGAGCCTGTCTATAATTATAAAATTAATATTTCGTTTTTATTAATACTGCTGAAATCTATATAACTATGATATTATTAAATTCTCATTATTAAATTATTAAAATTATTAAATAATGTTTTTATCTATTAAATATAAATTATTTTTATATTGCATTTAGTGAAAATTTTAAAGAAATTCATAATTCTTTTAGCTCTCGCTAAAAAAATTGTCCAAACTACAGAAGCCAAACGAAGTTCTTCAATCGACTGCTTTATTACGTGTATGTTAATAGAAATGGATATTGTAAGTAAAACTTTATCTTTAATTAAAAGAATATTTTAATCAATAAGTATCAAAAATGTTTAATATACACGAAGTAAGTTCTAAAAATATATAAACCTTATACGTATCCGAATGCATATTTTCTTACAATTTATTCGTATAGAACATAAAAATATATTTATTAAATTTATTAATAAATACTAAATGTTGATTTGAAATTCACATTAATAATGTAAATGTTTTTCTTTTTTATAAATTCATAGATATTACATAAATTATGAAATTAATTAACCTTGCAATGTGCTTAAATATTATATTAATGCATATAATTCCGTAAAACTTTTCTATATTTTGTAAACATAAATTTGAAGCGCTTCCATAAGTTTTATTGTGGTCTGATGCATTATCTATGCACAATCATATAATATAGATTGAAATATTTTTAATTATGTAAAATATAATTATTACAGCAATATGTAAAAACTTTTAAATGAAAAAATTTAAAATTAAAATAGTTAATATGTTTTCGAAAACCTAAAAAATAAAATATAGAGCCATAAAGTACATTATCTATAAAGTCAAGTTATAAGTGTGCGTCCGTTACATGTTTAAGCATTGAGTATTTCATTTATTGGATAAATACTTACTAAAGTAATGAGCAAGATAGATATAGCTGTTTCACTCACTGTTCATAACAGCAGAATATTAAAATATAGTTATTATGAACAATTTCAATATGATAATTTATTACTTCTATTTATAAATTTTTATGTTACTTAGTAGTAATATATATATATATATATATATATATATATATATATATATATAAGTGTAGATTAATATACATTTTTGTAAATAAAAAAATTCGCATATTAAATAATATATAAAAAAAAAGAATCAAAACAAAATAAAGTATTTTAATTTGTATTAATAATTATAATAACATGCTATTTTTAATCATATATTTTATTCTATATTTTTAAATATAATATAAATAAATATACTTTTGTAAATTTATTTGAAATATAAAAAACTATAAGTAAAATTATATTTAAGAAATTTTAGATTTTAGTTATTTGTTTCCGTAATCTATCTAAATGATGACATTGATAAATAATTTTCTAGCAATATTACATTGTATATTCAGAATAATTTTTTTATAGTTCATTATTAATTGTAAGTGTAAATAAAAATTTTAAATAATAAACATTTATTTTTCATTTGCATTGAATAATTATATAAATATAATAAATATTATAAGTGTTATCTGAAATTTTGAAAGTTTTTATTATTTATTATTTTATAAACTAGTTATGAAAGTATTAAAATTTTTTTATTAGCCAAATACAAATGTTTTAAATATTTTTAAAAATCAACTTTTAAAACTGTCGTTATTAAAATACATATTAAATAATTATAATTAAAATATATTTAAATCTTCTATTCTAAATTTTATGTTTTAATAATATTTTTTTAATCATAAATTGTTTGATTATTTTATTAATTCAATTAGTAGTATATTAAAATTATTAATTTATTATTTATATATATGCACAACATTCATTTTAATAATTTTAATAAATACCATAAAAATTAAAAAATAATAAATTAATATTTAATAGTAATACTGTATAATCTAATTAAATTCAAAAGGTAGACTAATTTCTGTTAAATCGTAATAGTAAGCTATCAAAAATCCATATATATAATATGTAAGTTATGTTGCAGATGACCGAAGATGAAAAATTAGACGAAAACATGCTGAAACAGAGGTTAATAGAACAAAAAATTGATCAAGTTAAAGCCCAAGGTGTTGTCGACAAGTGTAAAAATATCAGTAAGTATCATTAAATGTAAAATCTTTTTTAACAATGAAGTTAACAATAATAATATTTGTTATAGAAGGGAAAGATAGTTGCAATTTAGGTGGCAATTTATACGACTGCTTCGATTTTATTCATTTATGAGTAGTTAATCAAATAATTTCAATGTATGTATTGTATGCATTTCAATAAATATAAGTAACGATTGAAGACGATTCATTTATTTAATTTTTTAATGTAAATACATATGATATTTTTATCATATGTATACTTATTCTCAGTATTCTATTAAAATTTTTGAAGTATTTCTAATTCGTTAATAATAAAATAAAAATTATCGATTTTTAAAAATAAAATATTGTATGTATAATATATTGATTTAAAATTATGTAAATAATTTTTTATTTAGAAGTAAGCTCTTAAAAGTATTATTAATTAGATAAGAGTTCGATAACACGATAATAATAAGAAATTGAAAATACATATTATAACTATTGTTCCTAATATTTTACATATTCAATAAATCATATTTATCAATAAAACAAATGTTTTTATAAGCACGACTAAATATTTAAGAAATATAATAAATTACATTCATAAAATAAATTGAACATGAAAAATATTGTAATGCAATCAACTTCGAGAAAGTGTATGCATAATTAAACTCATAAAGTGAATAAGAATATACTGTAAGACAGTAACGTAAATTATAAAACAAAGTTATTTCTTTTTAAAAAATTAAACTTTTCCGTAAGTACCTTTAACTTCATAGTCTTTAAATGCTTAAATTATTAAAATGAAATCGAATATTTCAGAATATACATAGCATATAATACATTTAATATAAGATTATTTATTAATTATCAATAATAATTTTTAAATTTTTAAATTGTTCTTAATCAATTAGACAATTAAATATCTTTCACAATTGTAAAGAAAAAGAACGTTTCAACATATTCAATCAATATTTGTTGAAAAAATATGTATGATTAACTATACAATTTATATGTTAACTTACTATACTTATATTAGAATTATAATTTCTATTATGCAGAGCATATTTAAATTATAGTTTATATGCTTAAACTTGTAACTAAATTGACATATCGTTTACTCGATGATTAATGAAGATGTATGGCAGTGAGAACAGATTATGAAATGTCCACTGCGGTATAAAATAAGCATGAACTTAAATACCTTAAAATTTTGTAAAGTATGAATTAAATGTAATTGTCAGGAAGATTCCAAAATTTTTATAATCATGTTTAAATAGCATTTTTAGCATAAATAAACTATATTGCAGTAAAATAATATGTATATAATTTATATATATGAAACATACAATCAAATTAAAATTAGTCGACACTAATTATAATCATTCTCTATTTTAAAGATGTTTGTTTTTTTAAATATGTTTGTTTTTTTAAAGATTATTTAATTTTATTTAAAAATTTTTTTTCAAATTTTGTTCAAAATTTGAAATTTCAAAATTTCAAAATTCAAAAAAAAAAATTTCAAAAATTTTTTCAAAAAATTCTATTTTAAAGACATTGTTCTATTTTTAAATAAATGGGTTATAAATTTGAAGGTTTATATATTATAAATATTTTATCAAATAAAATTAAGATATCTTCATTGTAGGTACATACGTGAGTACATTACGTGCAATCTTGCGCGTTATTACCAAAATATTATGTAAAAATATAATAAAAAAACTTTTTTTATTTTTAAATGCGATTTAGTAAATATGTGATATATCTTTTAATTTATACAATAGTATACTAAGCCTTTTTAACATTATATAAACTTATTAGACAAAATGCGTTTTTTTTTAAATTTTTTTTAAAGGTGACGGATAAGATATGATTATTTCAAGTAATATATAAATTTAAATGCTATGGAAGTAAAAGTAAAAGGATAGAAATAAGTATCAAAGGAAGTTGAAGACAATAAAAAATCGTAACAATAGTAAAAAATATTTTAAAATAATAAGATTACTTCAAAATTAAATATTATTATTACTGCATAATTATAAGAAACCAATTATGTGATATGGTTAATTTTATAATACAATTTAAATTTGAAAATATAACATTTACAATTCAATAAATATACTATAAAAATTTCTTTCCAATAATATTTTTTAACATTTCAAAATGTTTAGTTAAGACTTTTCTATTTATATGTCACGTATTTTAAAAAAATATCAATTTTATACAAGATAAGTTTTCTAAGTTTTTTAGACTTTTTGTTGAGCTTTTATTTACAACGTAAATCAACTTTTTTCATGTAAGTGTAATGAAACGATTCCTAAGTAGAATATACATAATAAACAAAACACTTATTTTGCACATATTTATAAATTGAAACAAATATTTTTACACAATATAAAATGTAAGAAGTCAAATATTTTTGCAAATTAATCCAAATAAAAACGTATAATAAACTTTTAATTGCTAGATATATATTTTAAGAAATATAAGAATTAGATATTTGATATTGTAATAAATGTATCCTTATTATTTATTTTTATTTGATTTTATCAATATTCGGATTTCATTTTACTTTGAAAAGGTTTAATATTTTTATACTTTTTTAGTGTAAAAATATTTTTAAGACTCTCTTTTTTTGACTTGTAAAAGAAAATATCTCGAAGAGTGAAGTAATGGAATAAATATTAAAGTCCAAGAGTAAATGAATATACAATAACATAAAATTTCAACAAAAAATACTTTGAATAATCTATCGTTTTAATAACATTTATTTAGTATTATGAATGTTAACAAACTTATTGTCTTGACATTTTTATTATTGAAATATAATGGAGTTCTTTTAAAATAAAAGTTTAACTTTTCAATTTATGGCAATTTTCAAGTTTATTAGTGGAAGAATAAATAGTTTTTTACGTTGTAATACATTGTGACATTTATACAGATTTAACACATTCACTGAAGAACAATTTTATTTAATTTATAGCTATTTTAGTCTGTTTTTATCATGAATGTATTATTTATGACATTAGTTATGGATATAAAAGGCATTCATATGAATATATTATATAAAATTTGTTTATTTATAGATTTATTAAAAATTATGTGAATTTTAACAAATATATTATTATTGTTTTTATCTTATAAATTCTGTACTAATTTTTATATGTTTTTAACTAATTCATCAATTTATTATGGAAAATTAACTAAATATATGTAAAACTACCATGATGGTAAAATAAAACTGTTCATTAGCACAATGGCTCTTTTAGGATAATCTAATGACCATTCCTGATTATTCAATAAATAAATGCTTCCATGAGCATTATTTATATAATATACTTTTTGCTTCGATTTTTTTCTCAAGTTTTTACATTTAATATTCGCTCGTTAAAGAAAAGGAAGTAAATATTAAGATTCTACGAGCATAAATAAAACGTTAATATGAATTACCTAAAATTAAAAATATTTTAAAAAATAGTCATATGCAATGGAAGGTGATCTACCTGTGAAGCGATGTATGTTTTTAGCATACAGTAAACATATTCTTATTCTAATATTCTTAATAACAAAAAATAAGATCTTAAATTAAAATTTTAATCGCTGTTTAAATTCACAAAACTGAGGTGCACAAAAATTATCTATTGTACAATTTAATGCACATGAAAATGCATAAACATCTGAGTTGAATAGCAATAAATTTTTTATTATTCAATAGTTATTACATATAATTAATAGAAAATTATTCGTAATATCACCACTTCCTTTTTTGAGTAAAATTTTTAATTAACTAATTATCAACTTCTTATTATCAATTTCTAAATATCAACTTCTAATTCTAATAGCAGTTGGAAAAAATAAAATTAACAGAAGTAAAATGTTTTGTTTGAGATGCCTATACATATTTTCTTAATGTATTTTATAATTAAATCTATATTCCATACATAACGTGTAATAATTAACAACTTTTACCGATGTACGTTAAAGAAAACTGTGAAGTATTTAAGTTTCTTTATTAAATTCAACATCGATGAAGTTACTAATAATTCGATAAAATATAATAAACCATTATTTAGTTTCATTTTACAATTTTTAGTTATGGTTAATGAGTGATTTTTATTATAAAATCATTTTACATTTAATATAATACTGATAATGATTTTTATCAGAAGTTTCATCTAAAGCAAGAATGATATATACTAAATTAAAGGAAGACTGTAAATTGAAGCGTGGCAATCCTTACATGTAAATATTTAATAGAAAGCGTCAGTTAAAAGTAAATACATAATGCTACATTTGTCAAGTATGATCGAATGTACCTTTTTTCATTTAAGGATTGTAGAAAACTGTAAAAAATAGAGCATTATTTGATTATTGAAATTTTAACAATAATTGATAAATGAATCAGATGGTATACCATAAACTGGATTTCAAAAATGCTATAAAGAATGTAAAAAAATTATCCGTAATATGTTTTATGCTAATGGAATTTGAAAGCAGTCAGAGTGAAAATGAATAATGTAGTACTTAACTGTAAAAATATAGAAAGAAATAAAACGAGCGTTCTCTTCAATAAACAAGAAATAGTTGAATTTTACATATATTGTTGAAGATATATGTAAATATTATTACTAAAGAAGCTTGTAAAGCTTGTAATTATTGTAATATTGTTTATAGTTTACAAATTATTTGTAACTAACGAAACTTTTGTTGACCATAATCTAAAATATGATTATTTCTATATTATGTAAGTTAGAATGTGTATTTTTATTTAAAATTTTTATTTTAAAATAAATTTCTGGTAGCATCTCATCAATTTCCGCATCCAATTAACATTTAATGTTACTTCAAATAGATTGCTATTATAGCTTTTATTATAAATATAATAAAATTTTACTAATGATTAACGGAATCCCATGCTCGGCATTGTAGTCATCGACCGTAAGAATCATTCCCGATGTCAATTCACACGCTGTTGTGACATTGTTTCGCAAGGTCAACGCCAAGAGCCTCTCCTTTGGCTGTTCGTAATTCTATTTTAAAAACAAGAGGAAAGTCCACGAAGATGCAATTGCGAAAGTCGATAGTGGCGTACCCTAACGGTTATCCACCTTATCTTCACAAATATTCATGGTGTCTGAATGGCGGATTCCA